ACTCTCACATACACATACACCATTGTATCCTAGAAAACTGCCCTACACACACGTACACATTGTTGTACCCTGGAAGACTGACTACACACACACACTCAGGCCCCATTGTACCCTAGAAGCCTGACCCTGCCTGAGACTATTCAGAACTGGGATTCAAAAATATTTTTTGTATGAATGAATGAAAACACCAGGGAGTGTGAAGCAAACACTCCTAAGAAGTGAGTGTTCCTTTCGCAGATCAGAAGTAATGGAATCTGGAAACTTCATGTAGACTAAATGGTCATTAGGAGATTTTATCCGATGAACCCTGGCATGAGATTAACCCATAAATGCACATTCCACACACCTAGAGCCATTGGATATGATAGGCATTCGGAACTCTGTCTTAGAATTTGAACTGCACCAAAAAAGCTTCCTAATAAATCCTAGGAACTTGATTCTGAATTTTTCCAGAAGTTTCTAATCTTTTCTTCAACTCCTAAGTTTAAAGTCTGCACACCCAGTTGGGTGTGGGACAAGTTTCAAAACATCGAAAACATAAGTTACTTCTTGGGTTGCATTACATATCTGGTAAGTTGCCTTAAAGTTTCCATTTTTTCAAAGAAAATTAAACAGAGGTGAATTTTTCATTGACATTGAAGTATATACTAAGCCGTGAATTAATACCTCCAAAAAACGTATCTCAACAAAGTGCTGCCTGTCTATGTAAAGTCTGCAGCGAGAAGGGGAAAGTCTTTTCCTGAAATATATTTCTATCTGCCACAGCTTCATCTTGAGGAAATTGGCAGGCGTAAGGAGTGGAATCATTCCCTAGCTTTCTGTTTAGTTTGGATTTCTTAATTCAGAGGTGGCTTAAAATCAGGAATATCTGCTTCTAAGAAGCACTGAGCATTTTCTCTTGCTTTGTGTATACTAAGTGTTCAGTAAATGTCACGTGGCTTGCATCATTTTGTCCATCCTTGGTTGAAACTGCTTATTCAATCTACTTGGAAATGCAGAAGAATTCTAAATAGAAACAGCCCCAAATGATGTCTCCACTGACAAGTTTCTCTTCCTCGACAACTCACTGTGCACAAAACTGCCAGCCACAGCTTTCTACAATGCTTCCTGGGTCTCTCCTCACTTCCCCAAAGTCCAGCGAGTGAGTCAGTCTCCCGACTGAGCCCACTCCCATCACCCACTCCTTCCCTATATGTCCAGACTCCTCTCTTCTACACACTCTACTTTCAGAGTCCTTGGACATCACCCACATCTCTGGCTGGATCAGACAATTTGCTCTCAGTTACTAACTGAAGTCCTGGTGTGGTGCTGTTAGAATAAGCGCTGAACTGCTAACCACAAACAAGGTTGGTGGTTCAAACCCATCAGACGGTCCTTGTAAACTTTACACAGGGTCACTCTGAGTCCGAACTGACTAGACGGCACTGAACAACAACCACAACAATGAAATGAAAGTTTAGTTATTCAAATCCCTTCTACAGTTCTGCAGAAGAAAGTCCTGGCAACCTATTTCCATAGTGATGCCAGCCCAGACAACCCTCTGGAGATCTGAAACACACGGGGCTGCCGTGCATCAGAAGGGCAATGGGTTTGATAGACACTAGGTCCCTGGGTGGTACAAATGGTTTTCTCTTGACTACTAACCAAAAGGCTTGACAGTTCAAACCCACCCAGCAGTGGCACAAAAGAAAGACCTGGAGATTTGTTTGCATCAACATTACTGCCAAGAAAAGTCTAGAAGCCTCCATGAGCTGAAATCAACTCAACAATGACACGTTTGGGGGATTTGGGGACATACAGGCAGTCCCCAATTTAAGACGTTATTACAGTGGTTCCATTTTAAGTTGATTCTGGCATAAATTAAATACCTCCTTTTACCTTTTTCTTTTTCAGTTTCCATTATTACACCTATTTCTTACTTACTGACAAGTTTAGGTTCCAAAGGACATTATGGGAAAATCAGTGTTATGTGAAAATGAAGCCTGCTCACTAACAATGCATACATCATTACATAACTGCTAAATGTGGCAGTGTGGGATCAGCACTGGATTGTGAACCATAAGGGTGGCAGTTCAAACCCACCAGCTGCTCCTTGGAAATCAGAACCAACTCTTAGCAACACTTACTAACAACAAACCACTGAGAATCCTGGCGCAGCCATGTTGACGCCTGACCACAGCATTACTCCCTCGTCGGCCTTCGTTACTGCCAGACATATATCATTAATGCATACATACAGTAGTCAAATAGTAGGGTTATATATATAAAATGTCAGATTATGAGGTATTTCATCAGTGAAAAGTAGCTGTGTGGCCTTTTATTATCAGTCGTGTCAGAAATCCAGTCTTTACTGTATTGTTCATGCAAATAATAAATGCTCGATATAGTTTTTTGCAACCCCTCATATGTGCTAGTTCCCTATGCATGCTACCCAAATAAGGTGTTTGTCTTTGGAGGTCAGAAACATTACATACAAACATCTGTTGGTGAACATCTATCTGAGTATATAACACCAGCAAAATACCTGCTGCAACATTGCATGTAGTACATATTAGGAATAATCAGATGTACACACAAAAAATATGTCTTAAATAGGGAACTAGTGGACTTCTGGTGTGGCTCTGTGGGATTGGCACTGGACTGTGAACCACAAGGTCAGGAGTTCAAACCCACCAGCTGCTCCTCGGAAACCCTACAAGTCAAAAGTAAACAACAAGGACCTACCTGTACTTGGCCTTTGTACTTCCTCTCTGATGTCTCCCTATTAGAGTGTCACCTCATACTCTGAAGGTGGAGGTTCTAGTCCAACCCTCAGGGCACATATAAGACTCTAGGCAGCTGCCTCAGCCCTCTGTTGAGTGTAGTGTGCCTGTTTGCAAACAGAAAAGAGAGTGATGGCTCTTTGTGCACACTCTTGGTACCCTTTACAAATGGTGTGAAAACAGTCAGCTGCTGGAAAATCTTTCAAAGAAAATAAGATCCAATGAATGTCAACATTTATGTTGGGAAAGTTGCCCACTCTGTGCCAGGCACTGAGGAAAAGGGGGAGACAGAAAGGTCTGCCCCCGCGATGTTCTGTTCCAGGCCAATACCATGCTTTAAAGGGTCTGCCCCATATGTGGGGTGGGGGTGGGGGTGACACAAGGCAACACTGAGGGGGCAGACAGGGAAGGTAGCCTGGGAGCCAGGAACAGGCAGACAGGCTGGTAGGTCAGTAGTGAAGACCTTTAATGGTCAGGAAGTCAGCTTTGCTATTTTTTAAGTCTTGGAGTGATGAGAAAACTCAAAGTAAGAGGGCTGGCAGGTAAAACTAGCTCGAGTGCCTTAGCAAGATGTGGGGTCTGGGCTAGATTTGGATTTTGAAATGACTGCCATTTGCCTTGAAGGAGTTCTGTGGCTCAGGGGCTTAAGTGTTGGGCTGCTAATTTCCAGGTCAGTGATTCGAACTCATCACTTGCTGCGAAGGAAGTTGATGCAGTGTGCGCCTGTAAAGAAACGCTACAGGGCAGCGTTAGGGGGCCTGTGGCACCTATAGGGTGGCTGTGGGCAGCAGCTACTTTAATGGGGTCTTTCATCCCTAGGCCTTCTATCTAAACCTCAGCACAAACTGGGACTCTGGGCAGACACTTGAACAATGCCACTCTGACCTCCTGCCAGGTGACCCTGCCACCATTCACATGTCCCTACCTAACTGATGTCCCTTTCTAACTCTCCTCTCTGCCTTCTGAGACATGACTAAGAGGTGACTAAGGTGAAATCTTGCCCATTGCCCCACTGGTCTGCCACCTCCTCCTCTCTCTAAGGGGGATGAGAGGATTTGGGGCCAGTCTCTGGCCACATGACCCTTCCTGCAAAGAGGAAGAGCCCTCCATGGATGTGCTAAGGGCCAGCCCTGAAGCAGCAGCCTGGGTGGAAAACGTGTTCCCGTTGGCCCTCCGGGGTCCAGGACTATGCTTGGCAAATGTTGACCCTGTGCCCTAGCCCATGCCAGGTGAGGAGGACGAACTCCTAGCCTCCACAGAACTGAGGAGATGACACACATCCAAAGACCACCAAAGAATCCCAAATCTAACTGAAGGGCGCTGGTGTGTGGTGTGCTGAGGATGACCCTAATGGGAGCCTGAAGGGCAGCCTCTTGGGGTAGGAGTTTGGGGTCTGATCTGGTCAGACGGCTGGGTTGAGTTGGCTCAGTCGGGATCTTCCTGGAGGCAGGCTGCTGGATCGCCGGGGCTGGGGTCGCTCATCTAGGCTGGCCTGCAGTTGGCTGTCTTGGGGCCTGGTTAAGGCCATTGCTGCTTGGTGGATCCGGACTAGGGTCTGCAGGGCCTATCGAGGCTCAGGCGCTGCCCGGCGCCCCCCGGCCCTGCCCGGCCTCCCCCGGCGCCCCCTCGTGCCCCGGGCGGGCCCTGC